CATCCGTTCCTTCTGTTTCCTTGCACTTTTCGTCTCCTGCCTTTTCCTAGGCCCCAGCACACGAAAGCAGAGGTGACATCTTACTAATCTCTGCTGACTAGGCTGTCGCCGGCAGGTGCTAAGAGGCAGCTCTTGAGGAACGTGCACCGAACCGATGGGTGAGCACGTGGGGCGCGCTCAGAGGGCCCGGCCGGGCGCGGGTCGTGCGTTGTATCCTGCTCCACCCTCGCCGAGTTGGGACGGTCACGATCGGACACGGGCTCCACGTGGCTCCAACAAGAAGGCAAGTGAAGCCCCGAGACATTACTGTCACCAACAGCTCATTAGCTTGGAATAACATCCCAGAGGCGGAGTGGTCGAATTTTCAGATAAGAAGTAACTGCTCCAGCACTCTGGGAGCCAGGGCGGGAGGATCGCTCGAGGTCAGGAGTTCGAGACCAGCCTGAGCAGAGCGAGACCCCGTCTCTACTAAAAATAGAAATAATTGGCAACTAAAAATATATAGAAAAAAAAAAATGAGCCGGCGTGTGGCGCATGCCTGTAGCCCCAGGTACTGGGGAGGAGGCTGAGGCAGGAGGATCGCTTGAGCCCAGGAGTTGGAGGTTGCTGTGAGCGAGGCTGACGCCATGGCACTCACTCTAGCCTGGGCGACAAAGCGAGACTCTGTGTTTAAAAAAAAAAAAAAAAAAAAAGGAATGTGTTGCTGCTCCATCAGAACTTTCTTTTTGAAGAGAGGCCGTGTGGGGGAGTCTCTTCTGTCGAATGTGCTGGAAATGGGGCAGTCATGGAGTGACACTCTTAAAACAGCAAAGCCGATCAGCCTCGACACTTCCCAAGGAGTGTCCCCAAGCTGCGAAGTCGCGAGGCGAGCAGAACGGGGGGCCGGCGTCACGTGCGTTTTCAAACCACCTGCACAGGGATTCTGCTTGTCAGCGCCCTACAGCACAGGTGAACGGTTTTACTTCGCCAAGTGGGCTAAACAATTTTGCTGGAGATCCTGATTTTCATTCTTAGCATCAATGGCGTGGATCCTGGAGAGGGTGGAGGGCACATGGTTCTGGAAAGTTCCTTCTTTACTGCAATGCCCAGACGACGTGTTATCCACGCCAGGGAGAGGGGGCTCCGCTCTGCTTCTGTGCTGTGTGTTCCCGGGCTTCTATCTAAACATCCTCGCACTCTGCGCTCTCTGCAGTTACCTTTTCATGTCACCCGACCAGCAAAATCCTTGGTTTCTGACTATTTCTCAAAAAAAGGCAGAAAGAGGCTCATGACCTAGGGAGCAACCAGCACACAGACGAAGCCAGAAATTTCTGAAAAGCCAAAGCCAGACACATGCACACACAGTTGCAAGAGGCAACTCTTGCAAAAGATGCAAAAACCGAATTTACGTGAAGACCTGACTCCGCCCGGGAAGATGTTTCGATCAGATTTACGATTACCTTGCGAGGCACGGTGAAGGCGCCTGGGCCGCTCTGGAGGAAGTCACGAAGTGGTCGCTGAGGGTTCGAGAATACTTTATTGCTATGTCCTTTTTGCAGCGGAACATGGCCATGTTCAAGATGGACTGGCAACGCATGCTGCGGGACAGGAGCAGAAGGTGACAAGTTAAGGGCACGTGGCCCTGGGGTCATGAACCAGATCGCTACTAGGAATGACAACTGTCCAGACTTCTACCAGCACGGCGACCACACCGAGCTCGCCTCATCTCCACATCGAGAATCTTACTTGCTCGTCTCACTTACAAAATCACTCCAGGAAAAGAAAAGAAAAAAAGTAAGCAAATTGTGTTTATTTATAAAATTTAAAAAAAGAAAAAAATAAAAAAATAAAAGAATCTTACTCGCACTGTTCATGGTATCGCCAAAAGCGAATATTGGTGGAAAACCACAAATATATGAGGATATAATTTCGGTCCTAAGACCAGAGCACCTGCTGAGTCATGAGTAGGATGGCAGCAGACACCATCGCATCATACTCTCCATCAGTGGTGTTGCTTGCCCACGGACCAAGGTGTCAATTTGTTTTTTATCATAATTTTCATGTTAAGAATACAAATCCAGGCCGGGCGTGCTGGCTCACGCCTGTGATCCTAGCACTCTGGGAGGCCGAGGCGGGAGGATCGCTCGAGGTCAGGAGTTCGAAACCAGCCTGAGCAAGAGCGAGACCCCGTCTCTGCTAAAAATAGAATAAAATTAATTGGCCAATATATATATATATATATATATATATAGAAAAAATGAGCCGGGCATGGTGGCGCATGCCTGTAGTCCCAGCTACTCGGGAGGCTGAGGCAGGAGGATCGCTTGAGGCCAGGAGATTGAGGTTGCTGTGAGCAAGGCTGACGCCACGGCACTCACTCTAGCCTGGGCAACAGAGTGAGACTCTGTCTCAAAGAATACAAATTCAAAATCTTTTCTGTGACAGCAAAAGATGCAAAGCCAAATTCACTACTGCGTAGACAAAGGAAACAGTACACACCACAAAACGGCAAATATTTTCTCCTGTGTCGATGTCGCCTCGGAGAAGGGCTTTAGTGACATCACGAATCTGCAGGAAAACACAGAAGCGCATCGGGTTAAGCAGAGGCAGTGGGAAAATTCCCAACGCAAATGCATCTCATCACGCTCGTCTCCGCTGTGTGCTGACTTTTCCCGAACACGAGGGCAGCGCAGAGAAAATCCGGGCTTCGGGCCACAATCTGGGCCACTTGGACGCGCGCCCGGCTCCTGTGCAGCCCGTCTGCCTCTTGAAAGCCAGTCGCTTTGCTCTTACGGAGCCCCACTGAAATGCAGGTGAACAGGCCGGGTGGCTCACGCCTGTCATCCCGGCACTCTGGGAGGCCGAGGCGGGAGGATCGCTTGAGGCCAGGAGTTTGAGACCAGCCTGAGCAACAGCGAGACCCCGTGTCTACTAAAAAAAGAAAGAAATTAATTGGCCAACTAAAATATATAGAAGGCAGGGTGCGGTGGCTCCCTCCTGTGATCCTAGCACTCTGGGAGACCGAGGCAGGAGGATTGTTCGAGGTCAGGAGTTCGAAACCAGCCTGAGTGAGGCCCCATCTCTACTAAAAATAGAAAGAAACTAATTGACCAACTAAAAATATATATATACAAAAAATTAGCCGGGCATGGTGGCACACGCCTGTAGTCCCAGCTACTTGGGAGGCTGAGGCAGGAGGATCGCTTGAGGCCAGGAGTTGGAGGTTGCTGTGAGCGAGGCTGACGCCACGGCACTCACTCTAAGCTGGGCAACAGAGTGAGACTCTGTCTCAAAAATAAATAAATAAATAAAATAAAATAAAATAAAATAGGACAAAAATTAGCCAGGCATGGTGGCGCATGCCTGTAGTCCCAGCTACTTGGGAGGCTGAGGCAGGAGGATTGATTGAGGCCAGGAGTTGGAGGCTGTTGTGAGCGAGGCTGACACACACACACAAAAAAAACAAAGAAAGAGCACAAAGTGACCCCGCCACTTACTTAATGAGGTCCACGGCGTCCGCGTAGACGGAGTAGGCCGCCCTGCAGGCGGGGCTGTCGGACTCCATGGCGACCCCGCACTCGATGAAGGCCAGGACGGCCTCCAGGTACTTGAACGCCTTTCCCACCTTGTCCGTCTGCAGGAGAACGGGCCGCAGTCAGGCGGGGGACAGACCGCATGCACTGAGGCCCGCGCCCGCGCTCCCCGCCGCCCCAGAGACGGCGGCCGCAGCCTGCCGGTCCGCCCCGCTGCCGGATTTCCTTCAGCAAACATTCGTTAGGAAAAAGGAAAGAATTCTGGCTCACGCCTGCCATCCCAGCACTCCGGGAGGCCGAGGAGGGAGGATCGCTCGAGGTCAGGAGTTCGAGACCAGCCTGAGCAAGAGCGAGACCCCGTCTCTACTATAAATAGCAAGAGTCATTTTACCTACAGATCTCAAATTGGTGTCTCAAAAAAAAAAAACAAATAAAGTGAAAATTATTTGGAATATTAAAAAAAGCAGCAAGAAACAAAGAGTGACGTGAATCTCCGTGACTGTTCACGCGTGGGCCGCCACGAAGCCAATCGCGCACCCGAGAGCAAAGGGCTGAGATCAATCTGGAAGGCACAGAGCATCCCCGGCCCCGAGATGTGTCCGGGGGGATGCAAACGGGGCTGCAAGCGCAGGACTCGTGCACGCACATCCTAACGACTGATTCCGTGGGACGGAAAATCACGCGTGTGGGTAGGTCGCCGCAGGCACGCGCGACACGTATGAAGCGTGACAGGCACTTCTGCGCGTTTGCCCGAGAGCAGACTCCATCCGCGGAGCCGGAGACAGTACCTGCGCCAAGAACCCTCTGCAGCCTCGTCCCTGGGTCCTGTCCCGTGTCCCGTGTGCTGTGCCCCAGGGCAGCCCCGCCCCGTGGCGTGGCATGCAGGGTGGCAGACAGGACACCACGGATTTGGTTTTAACTGATCAGAGGACGCTGGAGCCCAGAGGGATAAAGAGAGCAAGACTGACCATGGACTCCGCTTTCTGCTTCAGCCTTTTCGCCTCCCTCATGTGATCATCCGCTTGCTGTCTGCAAAAGAGGAGGGGACAGAAGCGTCAGGGCTGGGGCTGCAGGACGCGCAGGTCTCTAGACTGGGGGGAGGCAGGGAGGCTGAGAGTGGAGGCCGGAGAGGAAGAGGAGGGGGAGCAGAGAAGCAAGAGAGGAGGGGAGGGAGAAGGCGGCGCAGGCTCACCTGTCAGGTTTCCCTGGAGGCTTGCCCGGTCTGGCGTGGCCGTTGGGCAGCGAAGGCACCGGGAAGGGCTGTGCGGAGTCTCGGGGGTCCCTTGAAAAACAAAAACATCGACACACACATCGCATTGGCTTGCGCAAAAAATACCACTGCGTGTTTCGGGCTGTGAATTAAACCATTGTAACTAGCCCAGACACTTGTTTTTTTTTTGGAGACAGAGTCTCACTTGTTGCCCAGGCTAGAGTGAGTGCCGTGGCGTCAGCCTCCTCACAGCAACCTCCAACTCCTGGCCTCAAGCGATCCTCCTGCCTCCAGCCTCCTCCCGATATAGTTTGGACTACAGGCATGCGCCACCGTGCCCGGCTCATTTTTTTTTTTTCCTACACATTTTTGGTTGGCAAATTCATTTCTTTCTATTTTTAGTAGAGATGGGGGTGGGGGGAGTCTCGCTCTTGCTCAGGCTGGTCTCGAACTCCTGACCTCGGGCGATCCTCCCGCGCTCGCCTCCCCAGAGTGCTGGAATGACAGGGCGTCCAGATGCATCTTTAGTCAATCAAATAGGAAGCGTGCAAATGGACACATTTTTTGCCGACGAGGTCGGTCTGCTTATTCCCGGCACCCTGCTGGGCGGGGAGCATCTTCCCGCAAAAAGTTGTCGCGATGCATGAAAAGTGGGAGTCGGTCGTGACGGTCCAAGGTGAACGCAGTGGAGGTGGCACAACTTCGCAGCGCAGTCCGGTCAGCTTCTGAAGCTGGGCGACATGCGGCCGGGTCGTTGTCGTGGAGACGGATCGGGCGCTTTCCGGCGACCCACGCCGGCCGCAGGCGTTGCAGCTTTGCAGAGCACGCGCCTCCCGGACTGACGGTTTTGTCACTAGGATGCGGGAAGCTGAGGTGGACCAGACGGGCGGCAGACCAGAGATTGCTGACTGCCACCTTTTTGGGGACAGGTTTGGCTTGGGGACTGCTTCTTGGTCCAACCACTGAGCTGGCCGTGCATGGTGGTTGTAAAAAAAATCCGCTTTTCGTTGCACGTTACAATCTGATCGAGAAATGGGTTGTCGCTGTGTGCAAGAAGACACTTCAAACGATTTTTTTTTTTTTGGTCACTTTTTTGCCTTTCCGATTTGCTCCAAATGCACAATGACCGCAGACCGGCTGACCCTGAGTCCTGTGGCACCTTCTCGTGCAGCTGGGAGGGGACCAGCCCTGAGGCCGGCTCTTAGCTGGTCGTTGTCAGCTTCCGATGGCCGGCCACCGCGCCCCTCATCTGCGAGGCTCCTGCCAGCTTTGCAAAACGTCCCGAGCCGCCACTGCCTGGCCCGTGGTGGCAGTTCCCGGGCCACATGCGTTGTTGTTGCTGCCAGCTGTCCCCGCTGCTTTACGACCCATTTATTTTAACTGGAGCGTTTTTATTCAGCGTCCATCTGGCTATCCATCAAGCAACCACTCTTTTTTTTTTTCTTTTTCTCTTTTAG